GTAATCCTGCACTTTGGGAGGTTAAGGCAGGAAGTTTGTTTGAGGCCAAGAGTTGGAGATCAGCCTGGGCAACATAGCAAGACCCTGTCTCAAAAAATTTAAAAAAAGATTAGCCAGAGGTGGTGGTGCAAGTCTGTAGTCCCAGTTACTTGGGAGGCTAAGGTGGGAGGATCACTTGAGCTCAAGAGTTCAAGGCTGCAGTAAAGCTATGATTATGCCACTGCACTCCAGTGACAGACCATGACCCTCTATCCTAAAAAAAGTAAATAAAAATTTAAAACATCAGTTGCATTTATATGCACCAAAAATGAACACTTCAAAGGAAATTAAGGAAATAATTCCACCTACAATAGCATATAAAAGAATAAAATACTTAGGAATTAACCTAACCAAGGAGGTGAAACACTTGTGCAATGAAAACAACAAAATATTCCTGAAGGAAATTAAAGGAAACATAAATGAATTGAAAGACATCCTATGTTAATGGATTGGAAGACAATATTGTTAAGGTGTCAATATTGTTAAGATGTCAATTTATAGATTTAATGCAATCTCTATCAAAATTCCTGTGACATTTCTTGCAGAAATAGAAAAACTCACGCAAGAATCTCAAGGGGCCGGGCATGGTGGTTCATGCCTATAATCCTAGCACTTTCGGAGGCCAAGGCGGGTGGATCACGAGGTCAGGAGATCGAAACCATCCTGGCTAACACGGTGAAAACCCTGTCTCTACTAAAAACACAAAACATTAGCCGGGTGTGGTGGTGGGAGGAGGCTGAGGCAGGAGAATGGCATGAACCCAGGAGGTGGAGCTTGCAGTGAGCCGAGATTACGCCATTGCACTCCAACCTGGGTGACAGAGCAAGACTCTGTCTCAAAAAAAAAAAAAAAAGAAAAAAATCTCAAAGGACACTGAATAGCCAAAATAACTCTAAAAAGAACAAAGTTAAAGGACTCATATTTCTTGATTTCAAAACTTACTACAAAGCTACAGTAATCAAAACAGTGTGGTACTGGCATAAAGATAGACATATAGACCAATGGAATAGAATAAGGAGTCCAGAAATAAGCCCTTTTGTATATGGCCAAATGATCTTCTACAAGGGTGCCAAGACCATTCAATAGGAAAACAATAGTCTTCAACAAACAGTGCTGGGAAAACTGGTTATCTACATGAAAAAGAATGAAGTTGAACCCTTATCTAACACCATATAAAAATTAACTCAAAATGGATCCATTACCTAAATGTAAGACCTAAAATTATAAAACTCTCAGGAGAAAACATAGGGCAAAACTTTGTGACATTGGATTTGGCAATGACTGTTTGGATATGACACCAAAGGCATAGGCAATGAAAGAAAAACACAAATTGGACTTCATGAAAAAATTTTAAATTTGTTCATCAAAAGACACCATCAGCAGAGTTAAAAGACAACCCATAGAATGGGAGAAAATCTTTGCAAATCATATAAGAGATTACTATCCAGAATATATGGAGAACTCCTAAAACTCAACAACAAGAAAGCAGACAACCTGATTTAAAAATGGGCAAAGGACTTGAGTAGGCATTCCTCCAAAGAAGATATACAAATGGCCAATAAGTACATGAAAAGATGCTCAACATCACCAATCATTAGAGAAATATAAATCAAAACTACAAAGAGATACCGCCTCACACCCATTAGGATGGCTACTATCAAAACTAAAACAGAAAATAATGAGTGTTGGTGAGGATGTGGAGAAATTGGAACCTTTGTGCACTGTTGGGAATGTAAAAATGGTACAGCTGCTGTGGAAAACAATAGGGCAGTTTCTCAAAAAATTAAACAGAATTACCATATGATCCAGCAACTCGACTTCTGGCTATATATGCAAAAGAACTGAAATGGGGTCTTAAAGAGATATTTATACATCAATTATATCAGGGTTCTTCAATGAAACAGATCCAAGAGTGTGTGTGTGAGTGTGTGGGGGTGTGTGTGTATATATATATATGTGTGTGTCTGTGTGTGTGTGTGGTAAAAATACAGGGTTCAAGTCAGAAGGCAGAACCAAGAATGCTTATGTCCAAGGGCAGAAGATAGATGTCCCAGTTCAAACAGGGAAAGTGAATTTGCCCTTCCTCTGTCTTTTTGTTCTATTCAGGACCTCAGTGGAATGGATAATGCCCACCCACATTGGTGAGAGTGATCTTCTTTACAAATTCAAATGCTATTCTCTTCTGGAAACATCGTCACAGACATACCTAGAAATACTGTTTTACCATGTATCTGAGCATGTCTTAGCCCAGTCAGGTTGACATATAAAATTAACCATCATATCCATGTTCATAAGCAGCATTATTCACAATAGCTAAAATGTAGAAGTCCTGCAAGTGTCTATTGACAGATGAATGGATAATCTAAATGTGGTATATACACACAAAACATTACGAAAGAAGGAAATTCTGACACATGCTACGACACAGATGAACCTTGAGTATATTATGCTAAGTGAAATAAGCCAGTCACAAAAAGACAAATGCTGTATGATTCCACTTATATTGGGTACTTTGAGTAGTCACAATCATACAGAAAGTAGAATGGTAGATGCCAGAGATTGGGGGAGGTGAGAGTTATTATTTAATGTTTAAACAGTTTCAGTTTGCAACATAAAATTAATTCTGGAGGTGAATGGGAGAATATTACACATGTTTTCTTTTTTGAGATGGGATCTCACTCTGTTGCCCAGGCTGGAGTACAGTTTTGCGATCATAGCTCACTGCAGCCTCAACCATCTGAGCTCAAGTGATCCTCCCACCACAGGCGCCAAAGTAGCTAAGACCACAGGTGCACACCACCACGCCTGGCTAATTATTATTATTTGTAGAGGCCAGGTATTGCTATGTTGCCCATGCTGGTGTTGAACTCCTGGGCTCAAGTGATCCTTCTGCCCTGGCCTCCCAAAGTACTGGGATTACAGGTATGTGCCACCACACCTGGCCAGAATATTTACTACTACTGAACTGTACATTTAAACATGGTTAGGCTGGGCGTGGTGCCTCACGCCTATAATCCCAGCACTTTGGGAGGCCAAGGAGGGTGAATTGCTTGAGCCCAGGAGTTTGACACCAGCCTGGGCAACATGGTGAAACCCTGTCTCTACAAAAAAAATTAGCTAGGCATGGTGGCGCACGCCTGTAGTCCCAGCTACTCTGGCGGCTGAGGCGGGAGGATCGCTCGAACCTGGGAGGCGGATCTCGCCACTGCACTCCAGCCTGAGCGACCAAGTGAGACCCTGTCAAAAAAAAAAAAAAAAAAGATAGTAAATTTTATGTGTATTTTACCACGATTATTAAAACTGAAATCCCCATGGGTCACTGATTTACCAATTTAGCTATTTTCACCATTTTTAGATTGTATTTTCCTTCTCTATCTCAGCATTCTGACTAAAGGAAAAGCAAACTTTCTTACAAGAATGAATGATTCTCCAGTGTGGCTGCTCCTGAAAGGAACAATGAGACTTTTGTTATTTCACCACAAGATTGAGAAAGAAATAAACAAGTGATAAATGCCCAGACCCCTTCTTACTCATTTCACATCCTGATGATCTGAGGCATGGTATGGCTTTTATTCCAAGCATGTGAATACTTACAATCAGAAACTCCCTCTCCTTTCCCTCACTTTATCATTATTGCCGTCATTTATGACAATGGAGGGAGTGTCTCGCTGGATGATATTTGGGGTTCTTTCTTCAGTAGTCCACCATACCGAGCGTTTATTTGTGCTGTTCTCCATCTTTCACATCTACCACTTTTCAAAAGCCCCTGAGAGTCAGTAAGACACGAGACTCAAAACAACTGCTTCACATCTAAGTGTATGTCTTTAAAAATCTCTCCTTTTGCATATTTATGTCTGATGTGTTTTGTTATGGCACAGTGGCATGTAGTATGTGGTTCATAAGTGAATCAGTGTACATCTGTGGAGGGCGAATGCTCAATTTTAGATCTATACATGAAAGCTTTTTTTCCAGGGCAGGAGCCTTGCTTTCTCCGACTGAGCCCTTAATTACCCAAATGCCCGTGTGTTGTGCCTTTGGCTTGTTGAAATGATACCAATTGGTAAAATCCGATGGGCGATAGAAGTTAGATGTCCAGAAGCATAAAAGTCAGGAAGAGAGGCTCTTTGTGGCATAGAGAAAGCTGCAGAACTGCTCCATGGTGTGCAAAACTCCTCAGCACATGAAACTAGTGAGTGGAGATAGTCACCTTCAACCACTTTGTAATTTCTACCAATTCACTTGGGGCCAGTGTCCCTTACTCACCAAGATTCACATTGGTCCTTTTGATTATTTGGCTTGAGGAGGCCCCCGACATGCTAAACTGTCACACAGGGAGAGAGGAAAAGTTGGGAACCAGCTTTCACTTAAAACGGCTTTGACAATGGAGGCAAATAATAACATCTTGGGAACATTTATATAAGTAATTATATAATTTCTGATTCAGTAGCTGGTTCATGAATAAATGAGTAATTGGGAGTATCTGAGTGGAGACAAGAATGAGCATTAACGTAGGACTGATTCTGAATGACAGCTCCTGGCACTAGTAGGTTTCAATATACATAGTCTGCTGAAAGGTAATTCTCTCTGTGATATTCCTGGTATCCCTAAGGAGGGAAGTATAATTTTAGGTACATACTGACAAAATTTGAATACAGAGTACTTAGATGAAAGTTATAGCCTGTTTTAGAGATGAAATTGAAGGATGCAGTAGCTATTGCTTTGGCAAAGGATTTTTGGCTGATACAGTGTATGGTTACTGATTTTATGATTCTTATCACATGACACCTAATGTGTCAGTTGACTTGTGAAAACAGTGTTTCAGTTTAATGGATGTTAGGGATTTATATACAACTTCAAATTTACCTCCTTGTTAATAGTAGAAAAGAGTAGTATGGAAGCATTACTTCCAGCTGCTTTTTGAAGCGTCCACCAAAATGAACGACTTTTTCCTTTCTTCACAGATTTCCTCCTAGAGTGCCAAGATCTTTTCCATTCAACACCTCAGTCATGTACAAAAAGACTGTGTTTGTAGAATTCACGGATCACCTTTTCAACATCGCTAAGCCAAGGCCACCCTGGATGGGTAATAAAAACAATGTTGAATGCTAATTATGAAATTGGGTATCTTATTTTCTATCACAGATTCCCCAATCTTGAGGTTGCAGTTAAAAAGTGCAGCTGCCAAAGAGAATGTTTCCCTAACTGCTACCTATAGGGAAATACACTGACTGCATTTTCTGTCTTTTTACTGGGCCATCTTCCTCTGCTTGGTCTATGCCAACTGCTTACCTCTACTTAGATGTCAAATAAAATATGTAACAACATGTTATGATAGGATATTTTCTGTCCTAGAATTGTTGCTGAGAATTACAGGTGGGAAGTATCCCCTTATTCTAAAGAGAGGTATCAGCCTATCGATTTAGAACTTGTTCAGGTAATAGTCCAAAATTGGTTCTGCAACCCTTAGCCCCTGACTCACCTCCAACCTTGTATTTAAAAAAAGGCTGGGAACTTATGAAAAACTTTAGATTTGAATATTTCTTTGGAGAGCCTCTTTGGTGTTTTATGTGTTGCTTACCCCATGGGGGATGGGAGGCCTGTCCCTCATGTCAAGTTATAATCAAGGAGAACTCGGGAGAACCACTTAGAAGACTGGACAAGGTACCTATGGAACTTGGGAGACACTGACTACTGCCTGGTTTTTATCTGGACAAATTTTCAAGGTCAGAGGCCAAAAGGGCTTCTGATGGAATAGCAGGGGGAGTGGGCTGTAGTGGGAGCTAACTGCACTACCACTGTTAGGTGTAAGGCCAGGAAGGTCACTGAATGGGACTTGTCTTACAAAGACTCTGTCTGAGAGGTCTTCCTGCCGGGGTTAGATAACCTCAACAGAAAAAGCCTGTGTGGGTTGTACTGCCAGAAGCAGAATCTGAGAGGAGAGATACAAGTGACCAGCAGGAGAAGGTATATCCCATGCTAAGCTCAGGTGCAGTGGGGTGTCTCCATGTTGGCAGGGAGAGGTCTCCAAAGAACTCATAAGTTCCCTAAGAAAGAAAGGCAGAATTTTGGTATGTGTCACAACTAGGGAGTACTAATGCCACATTATCAAGAAAGAGTTTGTTGTTGTGCCTATTTTTTTTTTACCTCCCCCCACCCTCCGTCCAGCCATCCTTCCCACTTGCTCCTACCATGGAGGGTCCAGAGGCAGAAAGGTGAGTTGGGGCGGAAGATGGGAAAGCAGCGAAGCTGCCAAAAAATTAATTTTACATATTGCAAATTTCTGGGGCTGTCAGAACGTAGCTGCAGAAGGAAAGGGACTTGCAATTGCAGAAGACATCAAAAATTTGGTATTAGACTGGACTGGACTTGTTAGAACCTAAAAGTGATACTGTTGGTTAATATCTGAAGGTTACTGGAAAAGATTTGGGATCAGCCAAAGTGCAGGAAAAGGGAGATCTCACATAATGTAATTAAAAACAGTGGTCTAAGAAAAATAAGGCTATTTTATGTTTTTATCCCACTAAATCCAGTTCATTCAATACACTGTTTATAGGCATTTTATATTTAGTGTATTCATAAAGTGGAGCTCTCAATTTTCCTCTTGATTTTCTGTCATGGCCTTACTAACAACCCAGTTGCACAAGCCAAAATCATAGGCGTTTTCTTCGACTACTCTCTCTTTTTTTCTATCTCCAGCATCATATTTATGAGCAAGTCCTGTTGACTGTTACTCCAAAACAAGTTCCAAGTCTTCTTATTTCACTTCTTGTAAAATCCAAATTCATCCAAATTCCTGTGGCCTGCAAGGTCCTACATGTTATGTTTCCTTTTTGACCATATTTTCTGTTACTCCCCTGCTGATTCAATGTGCTTCAGCCACATTTTACTCGACTAGACCAAGCTTATTTCTGCCTCTGGACTTTTGCATTTGTTTTATCTGCTTGCAATGCTCTTCCACTAAATCTTTGAAAATCTTACTTCTTTTTCATTAGTCAGATCTCTACTCAAATGTCACCTCCTCAGAGATGCCCTTCCTGACTACTACACTGAAAGTATCCTCTACCTCCTACCTCATCATTTTCTAGCAGACCACTATCTTTTATAATATTTATAACAACTTGAATTTTTCTTTTTCATTTTTTATATGATTAATATCTTGAGAATATGATCTCCATGATCTGTTCTGTTTGCTACTGCACCTCCAGTGCATAAGACAGTTCCTAGAATATAGTAGGAACTCTAGATGGATGAATGAATGAATGAATGAATGAATGAATGAATGAATTGAATGATTGCCAGAAATCTTTCCTCAGAGCAACCATAAGGTTAGGCTGATGTTGGCAAGCAAATACTACCTTTTATCAATAATTACAGGGGCATGCTTCTCCACTGTGACCTTGACTTTAACTTTTGTGATAACAGGTTTTCTGGAGTACTATCCCCAAGTGACCTTTGCTGGACATCTCATTCTTACAGGTCTGCTGGGTCCTACCATCCAGGCTGAGGTTTATGACACAGTGGTCATTACACTTAAGAACATGGCTTCCCATCCTGTCAGTCTTCATGCTGTTGGTGTATCCTACTGGAAAGCTTCTGAGGGTGAGTTAAATACCCTCCTATTGTCCTGTCATTCTAGGAATAGAACAGTGAGATGTGTGTGCTTTGTAATGGTGGCACACCTGGAGTTGGATCCATTCTCTTAAATACAAACTTACTGAAAAATAATAATAACAACAATAATGACTAATATGTATTGAGTTGAAGGTTGTACAGCTAGTAAGTGGTGGAATCAGGATTCAAACCTAACTCCATCTAACTCCAGAACTTATACTTGGAACCACTGTGCTACAGTGCCAGCATTCATATAAATAATGTTGAATTTGGTTCATGTAACTGAAAAGTTCCATGGAGTCAGGCAAGTATGGCTGGATCCAAGGATTCAAGTGATGCTCTCAGCATTGTGACCATTTTTCTCCCACCATCTCAGCTGGGCTGTCCTTTTTGTTTTCGTTCTAAGGCAGGCTTTTCTAATATGATGGCAAAGATAGCCACTGGGAGCTCAAGGCTTATCTCATTCTTACAGATTGTGATCCAGGAGTGGGAAGCAAGCCTCTATCCCAGTATTTCTTGATGTTGAGTGGTATGGAAGAGTTAGAAAGCAAGAGGCAGCATCAGTCTCACCCAGTCCAATGACAATGGCCAGGATGATGGAGTTCTTCAGCACTCTCTTGAGAAACGGTTCTGATAGAAGGAGCTGAAAACCATAATTCTCAGCAAACTATCGCAAGAACAGAAAACCAAACACCCCATGTTCTCACTCATAGGCGGGAATTGAACAATGAGAACACTTGGACACAGGAAGGGGAACATCACGCACCGAGGACTGTGGTGGAGTTGGGGGAGGGATAGCATTAGGAGATATAACTAATGTAAATGACAAGTTAATGGATGTAGCACACCAACATGACACACGTATACATATGTAACAAACTGAGAGAGCTAGTGGTCTCCACACCAAGGACATATTGTTTTACGAAGCCCAATAGAGTTGCAGTGTTAGTTATTTGAGAGGTAGTTAAAGTTAATTTGCTTGTAGGGCATCTTGATTTGAGACAGACAACTATATTTTCCACCTCTATGAAAATATCTCCCTGAATTTCCAAATCTCCAAATTTTCTGCTTTACCTGGTCACACAGACCTCTTTGATACAAATGAACATGGTCTGGAGATTGATGTGGGCAAGCTAGAGTGCAAAAAGTGGGCAAAGGAAATGAACACACACTTCTCAAAAGAAGACATTTATGCAGCCAACAGACACATGAAAAAATGCTCATCATCACTGGTCATCAGAGAAATGCAAATCAAAACCACAATGAGATACCGTCTCACACCAGTTAGAATGGCGATCATTAAAAAAATCAGGAAACAACAGGTGCTGGAGAGGATGTGGAGAAATAGGAACGCTTTTACACTGTTGGTAGGACTGTAAACTAGTTCAACCATTGTGGAAGACAGTGTGGCGATTCCTCAAGGATCTAAAACTAGAAATACCATTTGACCCAGCCATCGCATTACTGGGTATATACCCAAAGGATTATAAATCATGCTGCTATAAAAACACATGCACACGTATGTTTATTGCGGCACTATTCACAATAGCAAAGACTTGGAACCAAATTCTTTCAACTCTTTTAAGGTCCTAACTGAACATTATGTGTGTTTCTTAACATTTACTAGATCATAAATATCTCAAGATAGGGAAATTCGTCTTATTTATTGCTGTGTCCTTAGCATATAACATACTGCCTACCCTATAGTGGATACTCAATGCAAGAATGAGGGTGCAGTGGGCACCAGTCACTTTTTCTTCCTAAAATTAAACATTTCTCACCTGTGTACCCCCTCAGAATTGCTTTTCTGAATGTACTTCAAACAGAACCCGCCATTTTCTTAAAGCCCATGCCTCCCTGACCATAGCAATTAATCTAGGGGTGAGCAGTTGACACTGGTATCCCACCTCCTTGGCCACAGTTGATTGGTCCAGAGATGAGCACCTTACCCAAACTAGGCCCATGAGAGTACTTCCGCCAGCATTTTGAAATTTGTGAGAAAAAGGACCTACTATTACCAGGTAATCCTATACTTAGTGGATGGAGCCCAAATATATAATAAAATCAAGATTCTACTACTTCGTATCTTGTGGGCCATGGATCTTATAGGAGTCTTAAGGGAGTGTTGGTCTTGTCCTTTTCATAGTTGCAGGCATGGTGCAAAGGCAGGACAACCTACCTTTATCTGCTCCTTCTATACTATTGATCCTACCCTAAACATGTAGGTGTATAATCAGAGACAGGAAGCCATGGCAAATCTGGAGGGTCTGGACTTGGCTATATCTTAAAGAGTTACATATAATCGTGGTTCAACATTGGTGAAATTTTCCAAAAATTGGTGGAGGAAAGAGTGGCCAATGCAATTTTATCTTTCTCTTTTCTGCTGACATCAGGGAGAGAGATAAGAGCTTTTAAAATCATAATTATGGGGAAATAATATTTTAAAATCTAGCTCAAGTTAAACCCATCAGAAAAGGTAACACCTTTCAGGACCCCCAAATGGCCACATCTTATCCAATGAGGGGACACCAGCCATAGAGTCTATACTGCACACTTCAAATGGTAGCCACGAGCTATCAGGCACTTGAAATGTGGTGAGTCCTACTTGAGACATACTGTAAAATACACACCAGATTTCAAAGGCTAAGTACAAAAAAGATGAAAAATATCTCATTCACTGTTTATAAATACGAGTTGAAATGCTTATATTTGGATATACTAGGTTAAATGAAATACATTATTAAAATAATTTCACCTATTTCTTTTTACTTTTCTTGATGTGACTACCAGAAAATTTAAAATTACATATGTGGTTTGTATTATATTTCTATTGAACAGCACTCATCTGTACATTTCCAGTGAAATGTTTAGCATATGTTGAAGTTACTGCTCCTGATGCAGTGGCTCATCTCAGATATGGCCAAGTTCTTCTGTCCAAGGAAAACTAGGTTCAACCCATTCCTGGAGAGGAAGAGACTCAAATCTTTCTGAGCTGGGTCACTTACCTTGGTTACATCTGTTCTCCACCTATTCTACCAACAACCAAACGGATGGACATAGCTGAAATAAAATCATGCAATCACACTGAATGATGTCTCACCTCAGGTGGGCCTTCAGCATTGAAGCATTCTACTGCTACATTTCATTCTACTGCTACATTTCCCCTAATCCACACATTCTTAGCTTCTTAGCTTTCACACATTCTTAGCTTCTCATCGAACCTCCAGCATGCGCTCCCGCCCCTGCCCCCACCACAATCTGAGCCTTAGGACAAAGAGTATTTTTTTCCTAATGAAATATTTCAAACAAAGATAGATACAGAAAATAATATAACAAACAAACATGTGCCCATCACCTCACTTTGCCAGATGTTAACATTTTGTCATCTTTGCTTAATGTATTTTACAAAATTAAACATTTTACATACAGTCTGTAACCCTCCATGGGGCTGGCAGGAAAGGGTTCTCATTGTCAAAGTTCAAAGTAATTGATCATTGAAAAAATAATGATCGCATTAAAAGGAGCCCTTATATAATAGAGATATATATTGAAATACTCATAAATGAAATGATATCCTGTCTAGGATTGACTTCAAACACATCCAGCTGATGTTACAATCATTGGGTGAATTGCTGATGTGGAATTTGACATTTGTATGGTGCCAAAATAATATCTCAGAGATTTCTTTTTGATTGCTACTGGAAATGTTAACTTTAGAATGGAGGTATCAGGCTAATCCACGGGTCAAATTTAGTGTCACTAAGGATGGGATGGCCAGATATTATCTGCCCCTGATATGGCACAATATGAAGGACTCAGCATCATCTTTGATGTATTTTAGCCAAAAAACTTACTTAACTTGAATCTAATCGGAACTTAGGTATATTCAATAGCATGAGATATTCTACAGGACTGCAAGTCAACTTTCTTTCACTAAATGAGTGTCAGGAAAAAAGGGACTACTCCGTACTAAAAGAGAGTGTGGGCCTAAACAACCAGATGCAATGTGCAGTCTTAGGTTGAATTCTGATTTGGACCAACTAGCTACAAAGGATGCCTTTGAAGCAATTAAGAAAATTTGAGGCGCGCCCA